CTGCGGCTGCAAACCGCTCGCGAGGCGTGGCGACATCACAGTGTCAGTGACAAATATAAACTGCGGCTGCAAACCGCTCGCCAGGCGTGGCGACATCACAGTGACAGTGACAAATATGAATTGCGGCTGCCAACCGCTCGCCAGGCGTGGCGACATCACAGTGTCAGTGACAAATATAAACTGCGGCTGCAAACCGCTCGCCAGGCGTGGCGACATCACAGTGACAGTGACACATATTATATGGTGGATAAGTCGCTCGCGTCCGTAGGCTTTGACCACCTAATCCTAGGCCCACCCTACACGTGTCCCCCGGGTGGTGCTAAATGAGCGACAAGCCGATAGCACAGACTCGGCTCCTCGCCGTGGTAGCGGCGTTAAATATACCACCCCATTCGCACCATGAGGAATCAAAGTAAAGAAATGGCCCCGAGTTCCCGGCGCCCCTTTAATGGGGCAGGGGTGCGAAGAATCTCCGGGAGGAAAACCGGCGACGAGGCTCGCCACCCGTCACGTTCTGTCTCCCGGAGGGGCGAAAAGTGGATTGCAGAGGCCCGTCTGGCTACGTTGAATGTATGTGGAGCAATGAATGATAAAATGGGTGAAGTATGCGAGGTGATGTATGATAGAGGAATAGATTTGTTATGTGTAAATGAGACGAAACGGAAGGGGAAGGATGTCACTACACATGGTATGTATACCGCATACTGGTCTGGTGTAGACGAGCTCGAGCGGGCATGCCAGGGAGTAGGGATCATCCTATCAGAAAGAATGGTGCAATGTGTGAAAGAGTATGAATGTGTAAGCCCAAGACTGCTATGGATACGATTGAAAGTGGGCTTAAAGAAGTTGTTTGTACTAGGGGTCTACGCCCCAGACATGTCTAAGCCCACTCATATCCGAGAGCAGTTTTGGGAAATGGTAAGGATGGTATTAATGAAATGTAAGGGAAATGAAAATGTTGTTATGCTAGGAGATTTTAATGGAAGAGTTGGGGTGAGGAGGCTTGGTTATGAAAGGATATTGGGAACGTTTGGTGATGAAAGTATAAATGAGAATGGTGAAAGCCTCCTCACTGTATGTATGGAAAAGAATCTTTTTGTGACGAACACTTTCTTTCGCCACAAGAGGATTCACATGTACACTTGGGAAAGAGGTGATGATAGAAGCATGATAGATTTCATAATTGTGGATGAAAGATTGAGGGGCGCAGTGGTGGATACAAGGGTTTACCGGGGGTCAAACGTAGGAACGGATCATTTTTTGGTTTTATGCCGAATTAATGGTCTATTCAGGCGGTGGCGCCATCGGTCATCTGTGTCTACCACTGCGTTACAGCGTATTAGAACAGAAAGATTACAAGATGAAGGTGAGAAAAACAAGTTTAAATGTAGACTGAAAGAAAACGTAAGTGGTTTGGATGAATTATGTATGAATGAGTTAGACTTGGAGAATGTATGGCAAAATGTTAAGAAAGGTTTAGTAGATGCAGCTACCGAAGTATGTGGTGTTAGTAAAAGAAAGAATGAAAGGAAAAATAATACGTTATGGTGGGATGATGAGATACGTACGGAAGTTGAAGCAAAGAAGAGAGCATGGCTAGATTTACTAGCAACTAAGGCTGGTAATTCAAGCGGTACGAATGATGATTTTGAAAGAAAAAAGGCAGTCTTTAGACATCTAAATAAAAGAGTAAAAGAAGTAGTTGAAAGGAAAAAGCAAGAAAGAACGGATAAGAATGATAGAAGAATATCGGATAACTTCCAGGCAAATATTAAAATGTTCTGGAAATTCGTAAGAACTGCCAGGGGATGTTCAAAACAGCCTATAATGAATGCTATAAGAGATGAGAATGGCTATATTCTGAATGATGAAGTTTTGAGTTTAAAGAGATGGAAGGAATATTTTGAAAGCATGTTTATGAGTGAGGAGACAACGTATGAACTGAATGAAATAGGAACTCCGAAAGAAGAGGAAGGAGGTAGCGAGATAAGTATAGATGAAATAATGAAAGCAATGAGAAGCATGAAAGCAGGTAAGGCTGCCGGATATGATAGAGTTTCACTCGAAATGCTAAGGGCTGGAGAGGAAGTGGTGGCAGGCCTGCTGCACACCTTGTTTAATTTATGCTGGGAACTGAAGCGGGTACCGGGAGATTGGTGCAAAGCCGTGATAGTCCCAGTATATAAGGGAAAAGGGTCGCAGCAGGACTGTAAAAACTACCGCGGTATCAGCCTTCTTAGCATCGTGGGAAAACTGTATGCCAAGGTACTAATTGAAAGGGTCATGAAAGAAACCGATGGAAAAATTTGGGATGTGCAAGCGGGATTTAGAAAGGGAATGGGATGTACAGATCAAGTCTTCTCCATGCGCATGATCGCGGAGAAGTTTTTGGCCAAAAACCAAAAGGTTTTTTGTGCGTTCATGGACTTGGAGAAGGCCTATGACAGAGTGGATAGGAATGTGCTATGGCAAACACTGAACTCATTTGGGTTGAGCGCTGGCTTGATACAGGCATTGGAATCTCTTTATAGGGACTCTAGTGCTTGTGTTAGGATCAACGGGGTCTACTCGGACTGGTTTGGCATCCATAAAGGTGTCAGACAGGGCTGTGTGGCTTCCCCGTGGTTGTTCAACCTATTTATGGACAGTTGTTTGCAAAATTTGAAAGTTGAAGAATGCGGATTAAGAATGGGTGAGTTAACCATCAAATGCCTTTTGTACGCCGATGATCAAGTTATTCTTGCGTCGTCGGCGGCTGAGTTGCAAATGATGGTTACATTAATGAACAGATCATTAAAAGAAAGGGGTATGAAAGTGAACGCAAGTAAGACAAAAATTATGGTTTTTGAAAGAGATGAAAGTAAAACGATATGTGAAATAAGAATAGAAGGGGAGTTGATCGAGCAAGTAGATGAGTTTGTATATTTGGGTTGCGTATTTAGCAGGGATGGGAGATATGATAAGGATATAGAACGACGAGTGAACGCAGGAAACAGAGTAAATGGAGCCCTGCACTCTATTGTGAAGAGTCAAAATGTGTCAAAAAAGGCACGTATGGCAATTCACAATGCTGTGTTGGTCCCTACTTTAACGTATGGTAGTGAAAGTTGGGTATGGCAGAAGAAGCACGAGAGTAGAATAAATGCAGTAGAAATGCGGTCGTTAAGGAGTATGTTAGGGCTGAATCTGAATGACAGGGTGAAAAATTGTGTGATAAGAGAAGAGTGTGGTTTGCAAGATGATGTTGTGACCAGGATTAAGAAAGGAATGCTTCGGTGGTTTGGTCATGTGGAAAGAATGGATGAGGAAAGAGTGACAAAGAAAATTTATGTTGCAGAAGTGAATGGCAGAGTCGGAAAGGGACGTCCTAGGCGAAAATTTATCGACCAAATTGGCGATTTATTGAAAACGGGCCAAATTAGGAGTACCCTTAACCGACGAGCATGCATGCGTAGGTGTATGGATGTGAAGGAGGCGAGAGAGGTGTGTCAGGATCGTGCCAAATGGAAGTCTGTAGTCTCTGCCTACCCCTCTGGGTGACAGGCGTGAGTGTTTATGTATTTATGTATATTATATGGTACCCTATGAGGTAATCTGTGGGTGAGGCCTACTTTCAGCAGTCAACTAGGCTGCAACGATGGACCATATGGAGTAGATCGAAGGTTTCAATTGTCAGCTCCTTTTGGGATCCAAACGACGAGCGCTGAGGGCACCACAACTTGTTCTGCCACCAGGGCGGCGCCACTTCAACATGGCGTGTAATGTTTAACAGATTTCATAGCGGGGAAGTTAATTTGTTCAAAAATGTTTCTTTCTGTAATACTAGTTATATTTTATATTAATCAGATTAATTAAATAAACCTAACTACAGATATTCTTTTAATTAGAAAAATAAAATAGTTAAAATGTGCAAGAAATTAAAGAGCAAACCACTGAAACACTGTATTAATATAATACTGTAGAAACTGATAAACTTTTATTTAAATGTAACTTCTCAATTAAATGACGTTGGGTAGCAAACTAACGTCACCTCCGTGTCAACAAGACACATCTGCTCTGCGGAAGATTATTAGCCCTCACTGAACTGAACTGCGCCACTGGCAGTGGGGCCAAACGACCACGGCTGTTTATGAAGTGTGTGTTCATTGCCGGAAGTCATCAGACACGCTGCGTAATTCACAGCTTCTTAATTACGGATGTATTAAAAAAGTTACTACGCATGTGCAACAAACACATAACACTATAAAGGCACAATAAAAAAAATATGAATCGTAACACGCGTGACGCGAGCCCCAAATCTACACAATTTTTAACAAAGTCAAAATTTGGCGTATTGAACGGATAATAAATAGAATCAGACGTTATTTTGCGAAAATCCATTACATCAAAGATGTTAAAATATACTGGTGTAAAACATAAGGATCTTTATGTTTGTCCTATGTGAGAGAGAAGACATTCACAATCTGCTGCATCTTGTAGAGTAATATTACACTTGACGGGTGGTGAAAAGTTAAAAACCGACACTAAAAAACTAAATAGAATATGTTCTAATTCGTGGAGATTTTTTTTCTTTCGTAAAGATATTTAAAAACTTTGTGAAAACATAATCTTATTCTTTTTATTTTAGTAAAGTTAGTTTTCCGTTTTTTAAGTTCTCCAACTCAAGGCAAAAATTGTAAGGTCGAGTAAATCGCGTTACATACATACAAATAAATTCAGAAGAAATTTACATTTTAATAACGATGTAATGCTCGTTTACTTCAAGGAATTATCAATAAAACTGTAAGTGTGCTGTGTGATAATGATGACGGGGATAGTCCACGCAGGTGGGGAGGGGGGGGGGTAGGAAATGCTCTTTAAACTGGGTACGACACATCGTTATATTTTATTACGCGGATCTTAGAAAATAGTTTTTAAAATCGGTTTAGGTATATGGAACTAATTCTGAATGTCCGATGTGTCTGATGTGTATAAAGATGTTGTGGCCTGTGGCTACTCACAGGCGTATCGTAGAGTTTTTGCAACTCGTCGTAGAGCCACATCTCGACGGCAAGCCGCTTGCGTATCAGCGCCATCTGGTGACTGCCATATTTCGCCGTCAGGAATTTCTCTCGTCGTTCTTTCACCTGATCAAAATCACAAAGTGTATCAATAACTACATACTTTAATTTATAGTTAGCAGAACCTTAAAATAAATGAGTATCTAGATAAGAATTGATTATAGATATTGATAGTCAAAGCATCTTTCTCTGGTTTCAATATATTCATTCGTACGTCCATTCTATCACTGTTGTTATTCTGTTATGAAATACACAAATAAAACTGGGAAGGTTACCGTCTTCCAATAATTGTAACAAAACCTAATAGATGATGAGAGGAAAAGGCTTCTTACCTCTCACCATCTCTTAGCTTTTCTTTATTTGAATTTGTTATGAATTTGTACCAAGGAACCTCTTCTCAGTACAAATAGTCACTTGAATATTTGTAATTAACTGCTAGACATTAGTTTCCCAATTTAGGAACAATTTATCATTATCACCACGCTCGGACCAATCTCGAACCAAAATACGAGACGCAGTCCTGTTGCACTTTTGACATTACGGGTACTCGTACTTCTCGTCGCTAGCTAAAAAGAACAATATGTGCAAACTTAGGCTAGCGACGAGCGGTTTTCCACATATAGTTAAGTCATTCTTCGAAAAGTTTAGTTTATCGAAAAGATTAGCCGTCTTTTAGCTTATCTAAATCTCGTAGTAACGAATTCTGGCAATGTCAACTCTTGATTTGTATGATTGCACTTCTGCCACTATCAAGTATTAAGAAATTATACTATAAAGTACACATCTCCACAATATGTTGATGCCGTCACATTACGAAGTTTTTAGGAGATATTGACGGCAGCTCGAGCCAGAAGACAGTGGATGGCGATAGTGTATCAAAGTGCCTACGCAGACGTTATCCTGAGGTTCACATCGCCACCGGAGCACTTGCTTCACTGTTCCCACTAACAGTTCATGTGCAGACATTTAATACATATAATTGCGCCAATTTTGCTCTTTAGTGTTCTGCATATTCTAGTTGCTCTAAATTTGTAAAATAAGAATTTGTTTACTGTGTCCAGAGAATTTAAGTTTAGTATTATAAAATTGACTCTATCTTCAAATTCTAATTACCACCACACTGGTCGACTCGCTCAAGCAAGTACAGTAATCCGCCGGCAGCATAAAGTAACACGGGCCACCAGTGGACAAGAGGGGGGTAGCTATAGCGTTTTTCCTGGATACAAAACTGTGTGTCGTGTGTTGCGGGGGAAATTTGCGCACGCTAAAATAAAAGACGGTCACTATGAAACTCACATATACAATAAACTAACAATTTCACACAAACATATAAAAATATAAAAATACCGTTCGGTAACAGCGACAGCTTGGATACAGGCCAGGATTAGTTATTCGATCGATCTGCATATTATATATGTGCGGCCTCTGTTGGTAAACACATCCGAAACAACACGACTGTTATTATTGTAATTTTTAAGTTTAAAAAGAAGTTTAGTGCAATAATATGATTAAAATTGCTTATATAAGGTAACGCCATCTTTTTGTAAATTGTACGTGCCAGATCTCTCTTTGCAGCAACAAACTGAACAATGCAGTATTTTTGTATGACGTCGCTGCGAGCGTGCAACTAGATTTAGTCCAGTAAGCAGTGCGGCTGCAACTAGTTTTATTGTACGCATAGGACCGCGTGGACTTTACTTTGACAGAGGGGACGCCTGTGTGTATGGTTACACCCCTTCGATCCGCCAGTTTGCTCTATGACCGGCGGTCAGGTTCTCGCCAAAACTACTGGGTGTACCCACCTCGCCCTTATCGCTGAAGTTGACGTGCAGGCCAGCTTTGGCCGGAGAGCGCTCGGTAGGCGAGAGCGCGGTGCGTGCGGTGTGCGGGGGGTGCGCGGGGGGCGCGGGCGGTGCACGCCCGCCAAAGCCCGCCGCCGCCACGCCGCACTCCATGGCGCCGCCGCTGCGGCTCTGCATAAGAACCGACCTAATTAATCTCACAGGAACATCCAAAGACTTATATGTATACTAGACCGACTGATCAGAACAAAAACTGTGTCACGGCTATCGATCTCGCGTGCGAGTAGCTTGGCGCGGCACTTGAGTATGGGAAAATATTTTTGAAGAGAACCGGAGACCTTTATTACCGGAAACAAGGCATTGCATCTTAGTCCTCACGATTGACAGCGCATCTGCAATCAAAAATAAATGTGCTATAATGTCACATGGGTCGGCTCGACCGTGAAAGCAGCACGCTCTCACAAAATACCAGCTTAAAATAGATAAGGGCCGCTATATTTCGTATGGTGAGTGTAGAACCGAAGACCCTTTTTACTGGAAACAAAACATTCAATCTTATTCCTCGGGGGTGACAAAGCATCTGCATTTTAATTAATTAAAGATGTCTATGGGCCACAGCAACCTGTGTGCTCGTTTGTCACCCTTATTTTATTAAAAAAAATATATATTCTACTAGACGGGCAATTCAGAACAAAAAGTGAGTCGCTGCTGTGAATCTCGCGGTGGGAAGCTCGGTGTAGTAAACATACGAATATATGAACTTTTTTTCTCGATACTTTAGTTCAGCTTTCGAAGTTTTTCAACCTGTCATCAACCAGGTTTTTTTTACTGATGATATTGTAAACTGTGATAGTTATTGTAATTACAGTAGGTATGTGTTATATAGAGCTAAGTCAGGACATAATATTGGACAAATTAATACCTTAAAAAGGTCACTCGATACCTCAAAAAGGAGGATTCTGTTCTAACGTTTATATTTCATATTTTTTAATACTTTTTGCACATTCAATTTACAAAATTAGCGCATTCGATATCAAATTTTCCATGCGTTTGTTTTTCTGCTAAAAAGGATGTATTAGCTCAACGACCATTCATTACTGGCATGACATGTAACCCTGAAACCTACGAAATATGTTTTTTCATCACATCTCAGTAAAGTTAGAAAATGCTCGGGGAATTCAATACTTAAAATGTTCTTCTGTAATATAACCTTATTAAGGGCCCCTTTTCCCGAAAGTTTAGGCATTTTACGCTCTGAGACGGCTCGCGCCCGCGTTGCACAGGAGCCGGCGCGATATGAACTTGGGTGACCTATGGAGGCGGGCGAGCACGCCACAGTATAAATAAATCAGTAGTTCGATTTTGTTAGCTATCCTAGGAATGTTGTTGATAAATAAATTAACTACTTATCCTATACTATTAAACGAGCAATATTTGTATATTTATATTTATATATATATATATATATATATATATATATATATATATATATATATATATATATATATATATATATATATTTTTAAACGTTACCCCTACACTAGGATTTTCTCCTGTATCGTGGGGGCAGTTTACAAACATAAATTGCACAAGTACAAACATCCAGACCCGGAACAATTATTTGTAGGCCATACAAATACTTGTTCCGTGCGGGATTCGAACCCGCGACCCCCAGTGCAGCCACTCATTGCTAAGCCACTACGCCACGGAGTCGTCAATATATATATATATATATATATATATATATATATATATATATATATATATTGACGACTCATCTAAATATATATATATATATATATATTTAGATGAGTTCTCGAAAACGGCTCTAACGATTTCATGAAAGTTTCAATTTAGGGGTTTACGGGGACGAAAAATCGATCTAGCTAGGTCATGTATGGGAAAAATCGTTTTCGCCCGTTTTCGCCCTATTTTCACGCATAAAGATTTACCCGCGCAGTATGTTTCGTAATTTCGCCGCTATTGTTACGTAGCCAAACGGTTATAGTGTCGGCCTATGAAGTCTACGCTGAAGAAAGGTTCGGGTTCGAATCTCCATGCAGACTTTTTGTTTTCGTTTGATCAATTTTTATTTAGTTTTTTTATTTGTACATTTTTTTGTTGTTTATTGTACTTATAATTTTTTTTGTATTTTATTTTTGTATAGAAACGAAATTCACAGAATACATCTACCTACTAAGTTTCAAATATGTAGTCCGAATAGTTTCGGAATAAAAGGCTGTGACACACGGACGGACGGACGGACAGACATACATGACGAATCTATAAGGGTTCCGGTTTTTTCCATTCGACTACGAAATCCTAAAAAAGCTTGAAAAGGCTTCTTTATAATCATTTACAAAAAATATCCCATTTAGATTGCCAAGGGCCTTGGAGATCGACCCTGGTGATCCGAGGAATTTGGGCCGTGGTATGGGCATAAGAAATCTGACAATTGAAGAATACAAATAATAATACTCGTAATAGGTAAAACTGGATTGGAATAAATAAATTTACAAAATTTCAAAAAGCAAAAAAAATTAATTACTAGAGTTAGTAGGTATGCAAAAATATAGGTGAATGTTACTATAGGATTTAAAATTCTTGTCATACTGACTTCGCTAGTCTGTGTAGCTTAGCTAGATTACAGTAAATTATATTGTGACGAATCCACCCACTAAATAGTGGAACATTAGAATACGAAAATAAAAATTGTCATACTGATTTAGCTAATCTATGTCCCTGTTAAAGTAGATATCTAATTATTCCAATATGTATTTTTTTTATTGTAAATGACCTGTTGATGTTACGCTAGGGCTAGGTTATAGGAACTTATAACCTAGCCCTAGCGTAAGTACTTACGCAATACACTTTCGGATCTTCTTCACTTTAGGTAGGCTTTTTTTCCTAATTTTGTATTTTTTATTCGCCATTTTAATTAAATCACAACTTACAAAAAATATTTATTTACAAACACTGTTTTAAAAACATAGGTCAGTATACTTAGATACGAGTATTGTCTTTTTAAACTAATTTCTATTATATTACATATAATACAACAAGTTTTTATGCTAGTAGGTAGGTACTACTACGCGAGCGGCGACGACAACGTAGTCGCGAGCAAAAATAGCACAAGTCCTCCCTCGATGACGTCCGGCTGGACACTGGCGGCACTGGCGTGGTGCGCGCGAGTCGCTTTTTACGTATTTTATTTTATATGGAAAAAAATAAGTGCCAAATTATAAATCTATCCAATAATATCCCTGTCAAACCTGATTAGTAAATGAAATATAAAATTTTCATAAATATAGCGTTGCCCTAATTCTCATAAAACTGAAAATGCTTTCAAAATCGATGTTACTTCTGATTTTTTTTTATCGAGTTAAATGTTTAATATTGTGTTTTTATCCAAAAAAGTCACTAGATCAAACGTTTATCTGTACTATATATTTTTTTAGGATTTTAAATATGATGATTTGGGAAAAGGGGCCCTTAAGATAATTAACAGAATCAGGCGTTACTGTTACTTTGCTTCTGTTCTTCAAATTAGGTAAGAGCACAGAAATCGTAATAATAAGACAATTGAAGTCAGATAGACGCATGACCTTGTCGCCGCTATGATGTGTTGACGGACATCATTCACCATTTTGTGATTTAGTTGCGCGGGGAACATCGTACGTGAATTATGTTATTATAATGGTGAAACGCAGCATAATCAGTAGTAAAAACTCATCAAGGACGTGTAATTCAACTAATAAAGGCATAACATTTCATCGGTAAGTTGATTATTTACTAATTATCATTGTTTTAACTAATTTACATCTAGATGAATACTTTACTATGATATTAACTTTAAAACTTTTATTTATTACTTTTCGTATTGCACAATTACCATTGCTTCTTTTGCTCTACCGTAATACGCGACGCACGCGACGTTAACAAACTCGCCAAGCAATGTAATGTGAAACATTATGTATCATTGTACATTGCGTATGTTTATAATATGGTAAGGTGTGGCGACATCGGTTTTGGAAGTAATCGAGCGCTTATTCATTTCTATTGTCTTATTATTATTATTTCTGTGGGTAAGGCACATAATTTTATTTTATTACACAGATCTTAGCTACATAATAATTTTTAACATCTTTAATAACCTTTTTTGTACGCAAAAGTTTTTTGTTTTGAAATTACTACACTGATACGATACGGTTGTATTTGTTTGAATAAAAAAATATAATCTGGGAAGAAGCTAGTTTATATTATTGTACGCCTGCTTTCATACATTGTTTAAAACAGCAAATAGCAGCTTGCGACCTTGTCGGGTGCTTACAACACCAAACAGCGATCCGATCTTCGTACAACGTTCACGTTCTCTACGTTGTACTCGTACTTCAATTAAACCCAAATTTCATAACTATTTCTTATATTTGCGCGAACACTACACATTCAATAAAAGTATTCTTACGGATTTTATCGCCAGTAATTGTAGGCCCCGTGACCACGGGTGCTGCAAAGCACCCAAAACGTCGGGAATTAAAAATAAGTAAAACTAACGCGATAAAATTCGTAATAATAGCTTTAGTCAAACTCAAATTTCTCAACTACCTTTTCGTGTTATTCTTATGTGTTTGGACTCTTTAACTTAAGGTTAGCATCTTTTACACATTTTTAATGTATTCGCTGGACAAAGCTTTTTCCAGAAAACGCTCATTAAATGTTTGTCATTTACTGTAATGACTATGCTCTAAAAGGTTTTTTTAAGTAACGATTTAGCCCATAAAATTATAACGTAATTTTATAGGAATTTTGATAAATGCTAGATTTGCAACGAAAAATATATTGGACCACACGCCGAAAATATCCTGCACGCTTCCTGCCAAATAACCGAATATTTAGCAATAGTGTTCGGCCGGGAAACTAATAGTGTTTATTTAATGTTTCTTATCTCTGAAGCTGGGATCGTCTATGAGAAGAAAAGGAGTAACTACTGCCTCCAAATACTGAAAAATTAGTCTTTCTACAGCAAATTTTTCAATTATAAATTTTAATTACGATAATTTAAGTGCATAGACATTTATTTGATAGCTTTTAGAAGTGAAAACTTCTTTAGCATCGTTCTGATTTGAAAGTATATGAAACGAAAACGTGACAGTAAAAAGAGACAGGCACATAAATTC